GTCGGCTCCGACTCCAGCAGCTCCACTAGCTCCAGGAGTAGCAACGCCAGCACCCACAGGAGCACTGGCTCCAGCAGCACCTCCAGCTCCAGCACCTCCAGCAGCTACAGCTCCAGCAGGACCACCGGAAGACTCAGCAGCTCCAGCTCCAGCACCTCCAGTAGCACCCACTCCAGCAGCACCGCCAGCTCCAGCACCGCCAGCAGCTCCAGCACCAGGAGCACCCCCAGGCCCAGCAGCTCCAGTACCTCCAGTACGAGCACCTCCGGGACCCGTGTCTCCAGCACCCCCAGCAGCAGTAGAACCTCCAGCTCCGGCAACACGGCTCCACCGCCGAGCAAACCACTCACGCAGCTCCTGTGGAGAGGGTAGCTCCCGCCGGGACGAAGCACCCGAAGGACCTCCAGGCCCAGCACCGCCAGACTCCACACGAGCAGGCCCAGCACCCTCACGCTCAGCACCCCCAGACTCAGCAACCCCAGGCTCCGCACCCCCAGGCTCAGCACCCCCAGACCCAGCACCCCCAGGCTCCGCACGCTCGGGCTCAGCACCCCCAGACCCTGCACCCGCAGGCTCAGCACCCCTAGCAGCACCAGAGTCAATAGCTACCTCGACAGGCTCGACTGCGTCTACCTGGGACACACCTGAGGGGGCAGGACCCTGAGGGGGAAGGGGGTCTACCGGGGGGGTCTGGCGCGAGGAAGAGCGGCGGGGGGGGGAGGGGTGCAGTGCGGTAGGGGAAGAGACGGTAGTAAGGAAACGACTCGTCAAACGTGACGTCCTGGGAGGACAGAACACGGCGCGAGGTGGGGTGGTAAAACTGCCACCCAGGTGCGTCAGGGGGGAAGCCAAGGAAGACGCAGGGAACAGCACGGGGGGACAGCTTGTCCGCAGACAAGTCGCGGACAAAAGCTCGAGATCCCCAGACACGGAACGCAGACGCATCACCAACCTTCCCCGTCCACCGCAGAGTAGGGGAGGTCTCCGGCAAGGAGACCCGGGGCTGAAGGTTGATCTGATGCGCCGCGTACTGAACTACGAACGGCCACAGAAAATGGGGAGCAGCCGCATGGATCATGGACGTACGAGCGACGTCCATGACCATGCCAATGCGGCGCTCAGCAATCCCATTTTGCTGTGGAGAGGCCGGAAGCGTGAACGTCTGGCGGATGCCTCGTGCACGACAGAAGGCTCGCAGAAGGTCGGAGGAAAACTCTCCACCTCTGTCGGAGTGCAGACGCAGAACAGGAAAGTCCGAGCCGAAACTGTCTCTGAGCTGGAGACGGGCAGCGCGGATCCAGTCGATCAACACCTCAGTGACCTCACCCTTGCTCCGCAAGGGGAAGACTGTGGTGTAACGCGAGTAGTTGTCAACCACCAGCAGGAATTAACGCTCGTGACCCTGTCCACGGACGCGGGCTGGGCCCCACACGTCCATGTGAAGCGTCTGCAGCGGAGCCTCTGTCAGAGGAAACTCGGAGGAGTGAGGAGCGGCGCGCTGCCGCCCCTCGACGCAGGGAACGCAGGTAGGGGCAGGCCCCGGGGGAAGGGGGGGGAGGGACCGGGGGAGACCAGAGACAAGGACATGGTAGGCCATGCCTCGGAGACGAGGCAGGGAGGGGTGACCAAGGCGGTAGTGCCAGAGGAGAGTCTGGTGGGACAGGAGACGGCACGTGCAGGGGGCAGACTCAGGACCGGACTTGGACGCTGCAGCAAACACCTGACCTGACGCAGCTACCTGACCAGACGTAGGAACCAGAGGAGACTCGGTAGTCAGTGTGTACAGGCTCGACCCCGGCTGACGGGTAAACGTGGCCAAGTGTCGGCCCGTCCGAGCACACGTACAGTGGGTCACTCGCTGACTCGCAGGAGTGAACTGGTCAACCCCCCCATCCTGTAGGTCAGCACCACTCACCAAGTTCGTAGAGAACGAGGGGAGGTAAAGACCTGACAGGATGCCAGAAGGGGCCGCCGGACACGGTAGGACAGTGGAGAAGTGGGCAAGGACAGGACCCCCAGAGGGGTCTGCCAGGGAGTCTGCAACCGGCCGACTAAGCGGCGTGAGTGTGGTGCGGTCTCGAAAGAAGGAGCGGGAAGCACCCGAGTCAAGAGTGAAGGTGTGCAAAACCTGAGCCGACGTGGTACCTGAGAGAGCAGACTCACCAGCACCTGGAGCAGCAGACTCACCAGCACCTGGAGCAGCAGACTCACTAGCACCTAGAGCAGCAGCCTCAATGCACGGGTCAGGCGGCACACACAAGTAACAGTCACCCTCGTCACTAGTAGACACAACATACATGGCAGCAAGAATAGCATCATAATCAAGATCAAAGATAGCAACCCCCGACCTAAGCAGCTCGCCCCAGCGAGGGATCTCAGTGGCGTCAGGGAACTGGAGACGCCAGGCGTCCGTCAGGCGGCCGAAGCAGCGCTGGGTGGCGTGCGGGCCGCCGCACGGCTCACCAGTGCGGTCGCCGGTACGCAGGACGTAGGCACAGGGACCAGCACCCCCACCCCGCTGACGCGCAGCGTACCACTCACGAAGCTGCTGGGGGGGCGGGGTCTCACGAGCGCGCTGCTGCTGCTGGCGCTGACCACCACCGAAGCCTCCCCGCTGCACAGAGCCACCCCGACCAGCTCCACCGCCGCTGCCGCCACCGCCGCCACCGCCGCCTCCTCCGCTCCCACTGCCACCGCCGCCTCCGCCTCCGCCTCCACCGCCGCCACCTAAGCCCCCACCCCCGCCACCACTCCCACCGCCACCCCCACCCCCTCCGCCGCCTCCACCGCCACCACCACCGCCCCCGCCAGCTCCTCCAGCGCCCCTGCCCCCCTTGCCCTTGCCGTTGCGGCGTCTCCCGCTAGGGGCAGACGCAGCGCCGACCGACTCGGTGCCAACGAGGTCGACAGCAGCAGCAGAGGCAACAGAGGGCAAAAGGGGAACGGGGGAGCACCCCTCAAAGAAGGGGGTGCGAGGGTCACCACGAGAGGCTCCTACAGCGACTATACTCTTCTCAGCTGCAAGGAGGCGCTCCTCGAGGAGGTCAGCGGTGAGTGTGGTGGGGCAAACAGAGAGGAAGTGGTCCCTGACCTAGCGAAGGGAGTCAGGGAGCCGGGTGACTAGGTAGTAGAGGGTGATGTACATGGGGGGGGGGGTTCTTGGCGCAGAACTCAGCAGGAAGCGCAGCGCGGTAGCGGGTGTCACTAGTGCGGAGGTGCATAATGAGGTCAGCGACTGTGGGAAAGGCGGCGAGGTCAGGGAACATGTACGGCAGCATGAGGCGACTAAGGGCAGCAGTGGCAGGGGAAGAGTAGCGTGCAACTACAGCGTCGTACAAGGTCTTAGCACTCTTGTACTGACTAAAGTGCGCGCGCTCAGTGGACGGCAGGTGACTACGCACAGCAAGACGGGCAGCAGCATCGCGTGTGGCCCACTGTGAGCGAACAGTACTGTCAGCATCGGCAGTAGGGGCAGTAGAGGCGCCAGACGTGAGATCGAACAGTGAGAGACCGTCTTTTCTATCGCACTGCAGGAAAAGCTGCAGATCATCGACCCAGACCTCAAAATCGACAGCCCGACCCTCAGCATCAAAGGTGAGCACATTGGGGGTAGCCATGACAGCAGCAGCAGCAGGCTAGCAGCAGCAGCGGCAGTTCGACTCGGCTAAAGGGGCGCGGCTCGGCAGGGCGCTTACCAGTGGCGAGTGGGTAGGGTGGCCGCCACCGGAGTGGCAGGGCCGAGGTGCGCCGGCAGGGTCGGGGCCGCAACTGGGCAGCAGGGTAGGGCCGCGGCTCGGCTGCAGGTCAGGGCTGGGGCAGCAGGGACCGCAGCAGCGGCGGCGGCTCGCGACACCAGCAGGGCCGGCAGCTGTTGTGGCGGCAGGGACGGCGACGGCAGCTGCTGCAGGGACGGCCGCTGCTGCAGGAATAGGGACGACTGGGCGGGAGGGCCGCTACAGCGGCAGCAGGGGTGACGGCAGCTGCTGGTGAGGCGGCGACGACGGGGCGGCAGGGCGGCTACGGCGGGCCGCGAAGAGCCGCGAAGGGGGAGGGGGGGGCCGCGAAAGCGCCGCCAAGGGGCCCGAAGGGGCCACGAAGGGCCGCAGAGGGGCCGAGAAGGGGCCGCGAAGGGCCGAGAGGGGGCCGCGAAGGGCCGCAAAGGGGCCGAGAAGGGGCCGCGAAGGGCCGAGAGGGGGCCGCGAAGGGCCATGAAGGGGCCGCGAAGAGCCGTGAGGGGGCCGCGAAGGGCCGCGAAGGGGCCGCGAAGGGCCTTAAGAGGGGCCGCGAGGGGCCGCGAAGGGGTCGCGACAGGGCCGCGAAGGGGCCGCGACGGGGCCGTGAAGGAGGGCCGCGAGGGGGCCGCTAAAGGGGCCGCGAAGGGGCAGCTAAGGGGCCGTGAAGGGGCAGGCCACTAAGGGGCTGCGAATTGGTTTTAGGGCAGGACGCGAAGCGCGCTTCGGGCAGGCTAATTTTTTTTTCCGAAGGTGGGCCCTTAGGAAGAAACGGTCCCACTAGGGAACCCGCTCTATACCATGTTAAGAATGAGGAATGATTGAACTAGGAAGATGTTGGATACAAATATGAAACCCTAGAAACCTGTACCCCTTAGTGTCTACCCCACTAGAGCCTACAAAGACTAAGTCATATATATCTGACATATAGATCACAGTACAAGCAAAGTCAAGAGGTGAGTAAGTGAGGCCCTGCAGGCACAAGACCTAGCATAGTACAGAAACGCTGATGATCACAAGGCTGAAGTGCCTTGGTGAAGATATCAGCAGTGTTGGCCCGAGAGGCCACGTAAGCAAGACGAAGCTGACCACGCTGCTGCAACTCTCGAGCAAGGAAGTAGCGCAGAGCAATGTGCTTCGTTCTGTGCTCCAGTCTGTGCTCCTGACACAAGGCCAGCATGGCCTTGTTGTCGACGTACAGAACTGGAGGAGAATTCGTCTTCTGCAACGCAGGAGCTCGGGCTCTTTTCGCCTGTGTTCTTCTGGCTGATGAGGGTAAGCCACAGTCATGTTTTGGTGATCACCCCACGGGACTACCTCCGTTCACACTCCGTTGCTCCGCACGTCTCTGCCTTCTCTCATCTCCACAATCCACCTCCGCAGGAGGACATTTACTTTAATCTCACAAAGGACGGCCGCGTTCTGTCTTTCCTCACTACCCCCTCCCTCCATCCCCCCTTGCCCGGCAGGACTTCTACTTGGATCTTATGGAGGACGGCCGAGTGATCACCCCGCGGGACTACCTCGTGTCTCTCCTCACTCTCGCCCTCGCCTCCCCATGACCTCCTCCTCTCCCCCCCTCACGTGGGTGACAGGGCTTCTACTTGGATCACACCGAGGACTGCCGGTTCTGTCTCTCCTTACTCACACCCTCGCCTCACCATAACCTCCTTCCTCCGCTCCGCCCCCCATCTCCGCAGGACTTTTACTTGGATCTCACGGAGGACGGCCGGGTCATAACCCCGCGGTACTACCTCGAGACGGCGCTGCAGTCCGTGGCCGAAGGTTCTGACTCTGCGCGGGCCAAGAATCAGGTGGGCTGTGGTTGGGTGTGGTGGGGCGCGGTGGGATGGGCTGTACGGCGTGGGTTGTGGTGGGTTGCGCCTGTCTGCGTTGGTGTGCATGCACCTCGAGAGAGCGCTGCAGTCCGTGGCCGAAGGCTCTGACTCTGCGCGGGCCAAGAAATAGGTGCGGCTTGGAGGCGGGTGTGTGTGTGTGTGTGTGTGTGTGTGCTGGAGTGAGGTGGGACATGGTGAGGTGTGGGTAGAAGTAGGGTGTCGTGGCGTGTTACTAGAGATAGAGGTGGTGTCCAAGCAGACACCATCTCAAGAAAAACCCTCGCCCCTCTTCACACGCAAATCCGCGAGCCCCATCTGCTTGCCCTTGACTGCAACTGCTTCGCCCCTTGGTGACGTATTTTTTAAAGGAACCCAGAACCTAACCAATTTTGAGGCGCCTCAGAAGTTGATTCCTGAGCCCAATCTCTTCCCCCCCCCCCCCCCCCCCCCCCCACGTTTCTTCTGCTCAGATCCGCGAGTCCATCCGTTCACTCTTCCCCGACCGCGACTGCTTTTCTCTCGTGCGCCCCATCATTGACGAGCGCTTGCTGCAGAAGCTCGACACCCTGCCCGTGAGTGCTGGCGTTTGCTGTGCTGTGCTGTGCTGTAATCTCTGACGTGCTATGCCATGTCTTTTCCCCTTGTATATCTTTATTCCATACCCCTCAGTACGTGCTACTGGTCGCCCCATCAGTGGCGAGCGCCTGCTGCAGAAGCTCGACCTCTTGCCCGTGAGTGCCGGCGTCTGCTGTGCCCCATGAAGGCGAGTGTTGGTGTGTGCTGTGGGCCTCCCATGTCTGATCCTGGCATTGGACGCATTCACCCGGGTGATGTTTGCGCGCACTGCCTCCTCATCTCACCTCGGCACCCTTCACCCACTCCTCTCACACCCACCGTCTCACCATAAATTCCCCATAGTAACCACCTCTTTTCACGTGCATATGGGCCAGCTTCGTTTTGCGTCAAGCACATAGGCACATAGGCGCTAGTCGCGTTCACATAGGCACTGTGGTGTAGTGTGTGCTGTCTCTTCACCGCCTCCCCACAATTTCCCCATGGTAACCACCTTCTTTCACGTGCAGAGGGACCAGCTTCGTCCTGAGTTCACGCAGGGGTTAGACGTGTTCACCCAGGCGGTGTTTGCCCGCGCTCGCCCCAAGAGGGTGGGCGGCACAGTCATGACAGGGTCCATGCTGGCAGGGCTCACTCAGACATATATCGAGGCACTCAATAACGGGGCGGTACCCACCATCCTCAACTCCTGGCTGGTGAGTGAATGTGCGAGTCTTTCTCTATGTCTGAGTCCCTTTCCATGCCTGAATCTCTGTTATTTGATAGATAACACGGGCAGCTTCATAGCGATCCAGGTATATGCCTGTATGCCTCACTCTTTCTTCCAGCCAGTTCTTCTTTTCCTTCCCTCTTCGCCTCCTTTTCTCCTCTTGATAATTCCACCTCTCCCTTGTTCCCTCTCCCTCTGGTTCACCCGTCCTCTCTGCTCTCCCTTGTATGCCGTGCAACTTTGGATGCCTCCAGAGTATGGAGGAGACAGAGTGTCGCACTGCGTTTAAGGCGGCCCTGGAAGAGTACACAAGGGCTTTTGGCAACCCCACTTCTGCTGATGCGGTGGGTTTTGTTGCTGGGTTGGATGGCACCCCGTCTCACTCCGTCCTCTCACTCTGTCCTCTCACTCCCTCCTATCACTCTGTCCGTCTTCCCACTCCGTCCTCTCGCTCCCTCCTCACTACCTCCTCTCACTCCGTCCTCTTGCTCCCTCCTCACTACCTCCTCTCACTCCGTTTTCTCCCCCCATCCTCTCACTCCCTCCTCTCCCTCCTCTCTATCTCTCCTCTCTCTCCCTCTCCAGGGCGACCTGGTCACGCACCACAACGCAGCACTGCTAGCAGCGGAGACAGCATTCAGAGAGGAGTTGGCGGGGGAGGGGCGGGCACGGCACAAGTACGAGGAGAAGCTCCGGGAGGAGGCTGGGAAGAGGTTTGAGGTGAGGCACGGTGCAGCGGGGTGGAGTGGGGTGGGGTGGGGGCGGATGGGGTGGAGTGGGCCGGAATGGGGATGGTGTAAGTTCTATACACTGAAAAATGGGGATATCTTGGAGCAGGTGGAATGTGGGGCGGGGGGGGGGGGGGGGAGGTGAGCTTCTGGTGGGGCAGAATGTACGCATGTGACACCAAACGACGGTCTGTGGTATGCGTTTAAACCTGAGCAGGACGTGTGAAGTGAAGCGCATGGCAGCAGAGGCAGAAGTGAGGTGCACACGGCACCCTTCTGTCGTGTGATATGACTCATCCATTATGGCCATGCACTACTGCCCCCTACTCATTGTCTGAGCAGGCCGTGTTGAAGAGAGGAGCACCAGAGGCGGAGTTGAGGTGCAAGCGGTATCTGGAAGCCGTGGAGGCCAAGGTCAGGGGGCTCGCCAGGGGGCCTCCCCGGGCGGCAACTGCTGACGCGGTGCGCACGCTAATCGCTGAGCTGGTGGAGTACGAGTCGTCCATGTCGGGCTCTGCCAAGTGGCGCTGCTTGTCAGAGTTCCTCATTTCCAGGTCAGCACGGATGGTGGGGGGTTGTTATGAAGTGAGTGTCGGGAGATTGTTACTTTGTTTTGGATTGAGATGGCCAAAGTGACAAAGCGAGTTAAACTCGCCTCGTTTGTGCCTAGATTCGGCTGAGTATCGATCCGAGGCGAGGAAAACTCGGCTGCATTTTTTCTCCTTTGAGTCCGAATCGTTACTCGTTTTACTCCAAGCTTTCCCTTTCTCCCCACACAGCATGTGTGGCCTTGTGCTGGACTCGAAACTGCTGACATACGCTCGTAGGGAGGTGAGAACATGGTCTGGGAGAGGGATTGGCTGAGGATGGAGAGGGAGAGGTAGGAGAGGGAGGCGGAAGTGACAGCGATCCGGAAGGCGAAGGTGTGTTGCTGGGATGGGGTGCTGTCGGGTGGTGTGAGGTGGGATGGGACGGGACGGGATGGGATGGAATGGGAATGGGAATGAAAATGGGTGTCCGGTGGTTGCAATTCAGCTGGATATGCTGCTCGTGCTTTTGATATTCACATTCTTCTTGTCCGTTATCCAATCATGACTCCTCCCCCCCCACATTGATTTATGGGCCAATCCCTCCTTCCATGAATCCTCCCTGCCGATGTCCTTGGCTGTGTCCCCCTGATCTCAACACCACCTTTGTTTATGCCTCATCGCCTTTGGGGCGCCTCAAAAGCTGTCCCACTGATTCGGACGTCACTCTTTGGTTATGCCCCATCGTGTTATCCTACTGGCAGGACGTGTCGGAGAAGCAGCTGCGACCAATGGATACAGTGGACGTCATTTTCCGGTCTATCGAAATCATTGTCAAACTATTTTGTTCGCGTTAGGCTAGTGTGAGTTAGGTTGTAGTGACTACAAAACTTTAGGGTTTGCAAATGGCGACCATCGTACGAAACCCTAACACGAGCGGGTAACGGGCTGAGGCACACAATGCCACATCAACCTATACCCATAGCAAGAATGAAACATGCCCTTCTTTTACATCGAGCACTGCCATTTGCGTAGAAATACTTACACTCCTTCCAATGTACTTTATTCACAATGTAAGATGTCCATGTGCATCCCACGGCCTACTACTGTACGCCTTGCCCTTCATGGATCGCTTCTTGGCGATGCTGCCATCCTCCTAGTCGGGGATATAGTCCAGGAAGCCCCTTGCTGCCCAGCTCGTGCGACCCGGAGGGGTTTAACAAGTGTGCGGATGGGTTGCAGTGCGTTGCAGAGGGGTTGTTTTGCGACGGGACGGTGAATTGCAATGATGGGAGTGACGAAGGGGCGGCGACGTGTGCTGTGACTCCCTCTGCTGGTGGTGGTACAAGCGAGGTTACCACTCCTCCTCCTCCTCCTCCTCCTCCTCCTCCTCCTCCTCCTCCTCCTCCCCCTCCTCCTCCTCCTCCTCCTCCTCCTACTCCTCCTCCTCCTCCTCCTCCTCCTCCTCCTCCTCCTCCTCCTCCTCCTCCTCCTACTCCTCCTCCTCCTCCTGCTGAAACTGGATCTGGTTCACCTGGAAGCGACACTATCACTCCTCCTGCTGCTCCTCCTCCTCCTACTGCTACCCCCGGTGGCAGCAGCAGCGGCGGCAGTGGGGGTTCAACTGGGTCTTCTGGAGGCACTGTTGTTGTGCTGAGCGCAGAGGAGGTGGCAAGGCAGAGGAAGGAAGCGGCGGCTAGGAGTGTCAAGCTATATATTATTTATAATTAGGTATAGGCTTTAGTGGGGTAGCCAATGTAGGGTACAACCCCTTAGGGTTCTCATCCTTGTACCCAACTCACTCGATAGTCAAACATTCCTAGCTACCTACTCTAACATGGTATTGAGAGCAATAGGTCCTTAGGACCTTAGGAGCGCATTTTTTCGGGCCCACCACCTACCACTTGTGGTTACCGAGCTACCCCGCGCCCTGCACTGCCCTAGCCCCGCGCACGTCCCGCTAGCAGCCTGTGCGGCCCGCGCGTCGCCCGTTAGTAGCCCGCGCGACCCGCTAGTCGCCTCTGCTGGCCCGCGCGCCGCCGGCTAGTAGCCCGCGCGACCCGCTCGCCGTCCGCGCAGCCCGCGCGCAGCTCCTGCCGACCCGCGCGCCGCCCGCCAGCAGCCCCGTAGGCCCTGTAGCCCCGTGCGCCGCCTGCTCCTGCCGCGGCTGCCTGCTACGCCCCGCGCGCCGCTTGTTGCGCTGCCCCGCAGCCCCGTGCGCCGCCCGCCCTGCTGCTCTGCCGGCCGCTAGTCGCCCCGTGCGCCGCCTGCCCTGCTGCAGCGGCTGCCTGCTGCACCTAGGCGCCACCCGCCCTGCTACTGCAGTCGCCCAGTAGGCCCTGCGTGCGGCCCGCCCTGCTGCCCTGCCGGCCGCCTGTAGCCCCATGCGCTGCCTGAACTCCTAGCGCGCTGCTGCACCAGAGTTGCTGCTGTTGCTGCTACTACTTGCTGCAGCTGCTCCTCCTTGCTGCTGCTGCTCCTACTTGCTGCAGCTGCTCCTCCTTGCTGCTGCTGCTCCTACTTGCTGCAGCTGCTCTTCCTTGCTGCTGCTGCTACTGCTGCTACTTGCTGCAGCTGCTCCTGGCGGCCCCCTACAGCCCCGTGCACCGCCTGCCCTGCTGCCGCGGCTGCCTGCTGCGCCCACCCGCCGCCCGCACTGCTGCTGCAGCCACTGCTACGCTGCTGCAGCCGCGCTGCACCGCCCGAGCCGCGCTACACTGCCTGAGCCGAGCCGCGCTGCCTAGTTGTTTGGCAGACCGGTTTCTACTGCTGCACTGCTGCCTCTACTATTGCTGCTGCTAGTGCTACTGCTGCTGCTGCTACTGCTGCTTGCCTACAATCGCTCTGCTTTGCTAGTCCCGCGCCAGCAACTATGGCCACCCTCCGAGTTCCGTCGTTCGATGCCGAGGGCCGCCCGATTCAGTTCGAAACCTAGCTAGATGACCTGCAGCTGTTCCTAATGAGCGATAGCAAGGACAATGTCTCGCTCTATGACCACACGTCTGGTGCCTCAGTCGCTCCCGCTGCCACCGCTGAGCTTAGCGCCCGTTCCCAGTGGCAGACCCGTGATGCTGCTGCGCGCCTAGCCGTTCGCAATCACCTTCCGTTAGCCGAGCTCACGCATTTTGGCGAGTGCAAAACTGCTAAGACCCTATACGACGCTGTAGTTGCTCGATACTCCTCCCCTGCCACAGCTGAGCTTAGCCGCCTCATGCTGCCCTACCTGTTTCCTGAGTTGTCAACCTTTGCCACAGTTGCCGATCTCATTAGCCACCTTCGCACTAGCGACACCCGCCTTCGAGCCGCCCTCCCCAAAGAGTTCTGTGCTAAGCACCCGCCTCCGATGTACTGGACCCTCCACTTCATAGTCACCCGTCTCCCTGACTCTCTTAGCTCGGTCAAGGACCACTTTCTCGCTCGCTGTCCCAACGAACTCACTGTCGACCTCCTAGAGGAGCACCTCCTTGCAGCAGAGAAGAGCATTGTCGCTGTAGGTGCTGCTCGTGGCGCTCCTCGCACCCCCATCTTTGAGGGGTGCTCTCCCTCTCCCCTTGCCCCCTCCTACGCTAATGCCGCTGCTGTTGACTACCTTGGTGCTGAGTCTGTTGGTGCTGCTTCTGCTCCTAGTGGGAGGTGCCGCAGCGGCAAGGGCAAGGGAGCCAAGAGTAGCGGAGGTGGAACCGGGGGGGGTGGTGGTGGAGGCGGTGGAGGAGGAGGAGGTGGCGGAGGGGGTGGCGGCGGGAGTGCTGGCGGGAGTGGTAGCGTCGGTAGCGGCAATGGAGGCGGTGGTGGCGGAGGGGGTGGCAGCGGCGGTGGTGGCGGCGGAGGCAGCAGCGGTGGCGGCCGGGGCGGTAGTGGCGGTGGGGGTGGCGGTCGGGGTGGAGGCACGGGCGCTGGTTAGAGGCAGTAGCAACAGCAAAGTCCCCAGACGACCCAGCACCTTCTTGAGTGGCATGCTCAGCGTGGGAGGTCTGGGGGTGGTGGTCGCTGCCCGTATGTCATTCGCACAGGTGATCGCAAGGGTCAGACATGCGGGAAGTTCCACACCCAGCACCGCTGCTTCTCCCGCCTTGACGACGCCTGGCGTGAGGAGATGGGCGAGGACTATGAGCGCCCTCGCTAGTATGAGCTGCTTAGGGATGGTGTAGACATCTTTGCTCTTGACTATGATGCTATTATTATTGCCATGTATGCATTGGAGATTAGTGCTGATGGTGAATGTTACTTGTGTGTGCCGCCTGACCCCGGTATAAAGACTGGTACTCTAGGTGCTGGTGAGGCTCCTGCCTTAGGTGCGAGCGAGTTTGCTCTCTCAGGTACTGCGCCTGCTGAGGTCTTGCACACCTTCACGCTTGACTCAGGTGCTTCCCGCTGCTTCTTTTGTGACAGTACTGCACTCACACCACTCCCTGCACCTGTTGCAATCTCTCTGGCTGAACGCTCAGGGGGCCCAGTTCTTGCACGATCCACCACTGTGCTCCCGTGCCCAGCGGTTCTGTCTGGCTCTCTATCAGGTCTCCACCTCCCCTCGTTCTCTACGAACTTGGTGAGCACTGCTGTCCTCCAGGATGCGGGGGTTGATACCTTCACCCCTGGTCGGCAGCGTGTGGCGATCTGTACGTGCTCCCAGACCGGCCGCCACCTGGCCACATTTACCCGTAGGCCAGGGTCGAGTCTTGACACACTGACGACTGCGCCTCCTCAGGTAGCTGCTACTGCTCAGGTGTCTGCGTCAGCTCAGGTAGCCTCCCCCTGTGAGTGTCGCTCCATGTCGCACCAGACTCTTCTCTGGCACCACCGCCTGGGTCACCCCTCCTTGCCACGTCTCCGTGGCATGCACCGTCATCTCCTTGTGTCTGGTCTTCCCAGGTCTCTCCCTCCCCTCCCTGCCTCGCCTGCGCCAGCCTGCCTTCCTTGCGTCGAGGGGCGGCAGCGCACCGCTCCTCACTCCTCCTCGTTTCCCCCGACAGAGGCTCCTCTGCAGACCCTCCACCTGGACGTGTGGGGCCCAGCCCGCGTTCGTGGACAGGGCGGTGAGTGGTACTTCCTGCTGGTTGTCGACGACTACTCGCATTACACCACGGTCTTCCCCTTGCGCACCAAGGGTGAGGTCCCTGCTGTCCTGATCCCTTGGATCCGAGTAGTTCGTCTCCAGCTCCGCCGCAGGTTCCGCGAGGACCTGCCTGTCCTGCGTCTGCACTCTGACAGAGGTGGTGAGTTCACCTCCGACCTCTTGCGGGCCTTCTATCAGGGGGAGGGCATCGAGCAGTCGTTCACGCTTCCGGCCTCACCGCAGCAAA